TTAAGTCGGGTCTGGGTTAGGTCGGGTCTGGGTTAGGGGTTTGGGTCTGGGTTAGGTTGGGGCTGGGTTAGGGGTTTGGGTCTGGGTTAGGTTTGGTTTTGTGGTGTGGGTTAATTTAGTGGGTGGCGGTTGTGGTGGTCTGTAGTGGCGGTGTTGGTCTGATGTGGTTGGTGGTGGCAGTGGGTTAGGGTTTGAGAAGGTTGGTTTGGTTGGGGTTGACAGGGCCTTTTTGGGTGGTTGGAGGTGGTGATACACCGTGCCGGTGGTGGCACGGCGTATTTTTTTTAATTTCCCGAAAATAGTTTCCGACGGAATTTTCGTCGGAAATTTCCGACCGAATTGGAAATTCCGTCGGAAATTTTCGACGGAATTCGCAGGTACCAGAAATTGTCTTGCGACGGAAAATTCCGTCAGAAATTCCGTCGGAATAGTGTTTCCGACGGAATTTTCGTCGGAAAAGGTGGTTTTTCCTACGAAGGCATTTCTGACAACCTTTTCCGACGGAATTCCGTCGGAAACACCTTTTCCGACGGATTTCAAGGTGTTTTCAACGGAATTTTTCCGTCGGAAATGGGCCTTTTTCTAGTAGTGACTGTTCTGTGCCCAAGAATTCAGAAAAAATTGGACAAGGAAAAGGAGGAGGCTGCCTTCTGTGAAGTCCTGCCATCAACAAACACAAAATTCCAAGTGAGCTACAGGTTGGATACATGTGCTGTTGACTTAGAACAGAAGTCATGCACATGTAGAAAATGGTACATGTGTGGCTATCCTTGCTGCCATGCTGTTGCTGCCATTTTCTTTTTGCACAAGAATGCAGAGGATTATGTGGATCAATGCTACAAGAAAGACACTTACCTGAAAGCATATGAAAACTCCATACCACCATTAGAGGGTGAAAGGCATTGGCCCATGTCTGACTTAATTATGGACCCCCTACCAATCAAGATAGGCCCGGGTAGACCTAGGAAAAATAGGAGGAAAGACCCCTATGAAGACCCTAAGAAACTAGGGAAGCTAACTAGGCATGGAATGGAAATGACCTGTGGTGTTTGTAACTCAAAGGGGCATAATAAGAGAAGCTGCCCTAATAAAGGTACAGCACTGCCACAAGAACCCCCAGCAAAGAAGCCAAGAGGTAGGCCTAGAAAAGAGCTTGTGGTTCAGGCTACCCAACCAGCACAGACTGTTGCAGCTTCCCACCTCACTGCTACTGCAGAGCCTTCAAGGATAGGTAGAGGTGGCAGGGTAATAGGTAGGGGAGGCACCAAGGGAGCAACCACAGGACCAACTCCAACTGGAGCACCTAGGGGAAGGGGGAGGCCAAGAAAAGATGCTGGCAAGGAAAGTGATCCTCCTGCCAGTGTGGAAGTCCACAGTACAAGGGGAAGGGGTGGTAGAGGTGGAAGGGGTGGCAAGGTTCAATAGGTGGAAGAGGAAAGGGACAAAGTATTCCTAAGGGCTATGGGAACTTTGTTACACAAGATGGAAGCTCTTATGTAAGCTTCCTATCTGTATCTTTAATTTTTTTTAGGTTCTGTGTTAAGGACTATTTTATTAACATTGGGCATGATGCTTTTGTTACAGGTTCATGGAAAATCACAAGCACAAGATGCCAGCTTAACAACCACAACCTTGACATACAACTTCAGCCAAGGCTCAACTTCATAGCTTCCTCTAGTTCAACAGATTTAAAGTTGTAATAGTAGTAGTTAAAGTCTGTTTTGGGAGACAATTTGTTTTTGATTTCAATGTCCACATGTATGAATTTGGATTACTTTATGTAAGTGTTTTGCAACATTAATGTATTATCAGTTGCTGTTATTATCAGTTGCTGTTATTATCAGTTGCTGTTATTATCAGTTGTTGTTCATTATGCCTTTCTTTTCTTTCAAATTTTGCATACAAAAAAAAACAAAAAAAAAACATCAAATAAAGCGACAACATGAGTTCATTCCATTAAAATCAGTTGCCCAAAATTTACAATTATTAACACCTTATAGGTCCACATTGACCATACTAAACAAGGAAACTTTTTTTTTGCCAAGTATTGTCTGCTACAACTACTGCAGACATCTAAACAGAACCATTAACCTAGTACTACTACTTGTTGCATATACATCCCCAAAAGTCAGCACTAACACCTACACCTTAAACATCCCCAAAAGTCAGCACTATTACTAACACCTACCTAAAAACCTGCAACAACATCCAAACCCCCCCCCCACACAACCCCTTCACTTACTTAAACATAAGCACTAGAGTGAAAAAAGCCCAAGAAAAAACCAGAGTAATCATGAGCCTCTTGTTAGTGTTATTCTCCTTCAGCTCGAACATTGTCTCAGTAGTAGCAATGCCCATCTCTTCAACCTCCTCTACCAACTTCTCCTTTTTTGCTTTCAATTTCTTCACTTTATCCCTCATAAGATCCATATCTTGCTTCAACATTTCCACCTGATGCTCAAGCTCGGAAATTGTTTCCTCCTTCTCAACAATAATGTTTTGCAATTCACGTACCTCATCAGCCCATTTGAAGAACCCACATGTCCTCTGTTCCTACAAATTAATTCAATTAAAACCCCTTTCGTACAAAAACGCACAAAAAAATTAATCTAAAAAATAAAAGACAATTCACACACTTACAGGCCAGTACGAACAGCCATAGAACCGTTTACCCTTCGTAGGACCATCGTAGCGAACAGTCCTCAATGGCGCTAACTCATTGTGGTAGCATACCAGTTTTGCAGGGGAAGAAGAATTTCCCTTCGACCTTGACCTCGAAGAACCAGAGCCAACTGAAAGATGACTTGCCATTTTTTTGGAAAAAAATTAACGATTTCAATTAGCCTAAAATGGAATTGCAGTAGAAGAAGAAAACAGAGAGGAGGGCAGAGCTTTTAAAGAGGGAGGATACTTGGGAATTAATGGGAGTATTAACTACCCTACAACGGTATTAAATGGAGGGAAACCGGCTAGATTAAGAAAAGTAGGTATTTTACCTGTTTTAAAAGGTAATGGACCTGTTGGGGAAGGAGGGGTATAAAGGTTGGATTTTTGAGGAATAAACTAAAGGTTGGATTTTTGTAAGGAAAAAGTACAAAGGTTGGATTTTTCTTTTCCATTTTTCCATAAAAAAATGTCACGATCTTATTTGACACATATTTAACGATTTATTCCACGTAAGATAAGACTTATCGTAGTTTTTTTTTCTTGTCATTTAAATTTTTTTAATACGATGATGAATCATAAGATTGGAATCAAATGGATGAATGAAATTAAGAAATTACTATGCATTATAAAATTATGTGTATATTTGCAAGAAAAACCGATTGATCCTGATTTTGGTTGCAAGAAGTAAAAAAACACCAGCATTCCACCAACAAGGGGGAGGCGGTGGATTGTCGGTGAGGGAGTGGTGGTATTAATTAACGTGGTGGTCTGGTAAGATGATAGTGAAGTAGAAAGGGCATGATGGTTCATTTCATTGAAATGTTGGCGATGATGATGAATTTTGTTGGCGGTATTTAACAACCCCTTCAGAAAAATCTTTTATTGATTTTTATTTTTATTTATGATCATTTATGTAAGTATGCAGGGGATGAAACTTGGTGAACGTAATTGATAAGAATAAAGCTATAATATTTTATTTTATTTTATTTTTGTTACTATAATAAAGCAAAATGACTTTGGATGAAATTAATGTATGCTTATTACATCAAAAGCAAAGATACTTTGAATATTTAAGAGAGAGTAATTAAAAACTACATATAGATCTTGCAACAACGTTTAATTTATACAGTCTCAATTAAGAAGTTGTATTAGAGGTTTCAAGGTGATTGTGTTATTGTCTCTTGGAAGAGATGGACTATTGTGTAACTATATAACTAGCCTCATGTGTCATTTTTATCACATATTGGCTATTCATAATAGACAAGCTAAAAAAGACTTAACTTTTTACCTTTTGATGAAGAAAAAAAAAATGATGTTGCAACTTATCTTAGGGTGTGTTTGGATAAAGAAATGGGAAAGAAAAGAAGGGGAGGGAGGTGCAGGGGAGGGAAGAGAAAGGGAGGGGAGGGAAGAAATATGAGTTTTCCTTCCAAATCTCTTCATTGTTGGAGAGATCAAATTCTTACAATTTAATTCTTTCATTTCTCTCCCCTCTAATTCCCTTCCTTCCACATTTATTATCCAAATGAAAGATAATCTATCCCTCAATTTCCCTTCCCTCCATTTCCATAATCCAAACAAAGTGTTAAAGTCAACTTCATGCTATGTTTCACATATATCGTCTATGTTATATGAATTAAAAGGAAATTTCTAGAAACCTCTCTACAAACTCACCCTCTTTAGCCGTCTCCCTTTTTTAGCCCCCCTCCCTTCGCAACATCTTCTCTGGCTATTAGTCTTTTCTTGAGATTAACACCTACTTGCACAACTAATCAGTACTACTACAACTAACAGCTATATTTTGCCGAACACACTCGTAGGAGGAATCTTCTAGTAACCTTCCCTGAGATAAAGGGATTACTAGTACCTATGTTTTCCGATTAAACAAAATGAACTATTAGGATCAAAAGAATTTTCTATGTCATTTGAAACACCTCAATCTTTAACTTGTAAACATCAAGTGAACATAACAATTCTTAAAACAACATACAATGAACTATTATTATCAATTGCCAGAAAAACAAGTCCATTTAAATGTATGATATTAAGTTGTCAAATTAGGTCTACGATACTGATTAGATTCAGTCAATTCAACCCATATCAAATACTTTGTAACAATTTGTACAACGTTTTCCATACGAATCAAATGAGCATAGGCCTACTCAATTTAATTAAACCATATCGAATAACTATTTGTACATTTGTGTCCATAAAGATCAAATGTGCAACACAAAATCTTAACATGACTTTGATTTTTTTTTTTTGAATCACAATAAGGTCAAGTCCATTTCCGCAAATGCAAAAGTGAAATAAAAAAGACACACACAAAAGTCACTTTCAGAGGGAGAGATAGTTCAAGTGGTTAAATCTTTCCTTGACATTTATTCATACATCGCCAAAAAAATAAAAAGGTCCCCTTACCTTTCCGGGCTCCTCCCTCAAACACCAAAACACATCTACACTCCCTTGAGCCCTCCTCCACCTTCAACATACAAATTGTGTCAAGCAAGTACCAGCTACTCTCTCTCTTACCTCCAACAACAATGGCGACATTTGCTCGACTCTCAAGAAAAGCCCTAAAACTCACCTCACCACTTTCTCTCTCCTCCCACCATCACAACCCTCTCCGCTCTCTCTCCTCCGCCGCCGCCGCCGTGCAACCCCACCAGCAATCTCCGCCGCCGACGAAGAGAGAGATAGTCGAATCACCAGATCGAGTGAAATGGGATTACAGAGGACAGAGATTGTCTATTCCTTTGGGTCAATGGAACCCTAAGATCGCTGTTGATGCATATGTTGCTCCCAATGTTGTTCTTGCTGGTCAGGTTAATGTCTGCGATGGTGCTTCCGTTTGGAATGGCTCTGTTCTTCGAGGCGATCTTAACAAAATTATTGTTGGGTTTTGCTCAAATGTTCAGGAAAAGTGTGTTCTTCATGCTGCTTGGTCTTCTCCTACTGGTAATTTTACCCCCCTTTGGATTAATTATGATTGTTTTATGCAATTGATGTGAATTTCTGATTCTGATTGTGGTGGGTTGAGTTGGAAGTTGTGAATTTGCTGGGAAATTAGGATGGGTAGATATTGTGGGAAGGTTAAATGATAATGTGATTGCTATTGTAGTTTATTGGATTGAAATGGGTTGAATGAAATTGTACTTTGAATTTGATAGTTTGAGTAGGAAATCATGAATGTTTTCGGAAATGGGGTTATGTAAAAATATAATGGGTAGCTTAACAAGTAATGTGATTACTACTGTACTATTCTTTTTATTGGATTGAAATGGGTTGGATTAAATTTCACAGTTAATCGTTCCTTGCTTCTTTTTGTTGTTATTATTGGGAGGGTAATACAGAGTAGGAGCTTAGGAATTCACCTTTTAATCGAGAGGTGAATGCCAAAGCAGCCGGTTTTCAGTTTTGGGAAAACGACTGGTTGTAATTTTGATCCCCCCAGTCCCCACTCCATTGCTTATATGGTGCTTAAACTCTCTTTACAGCTCAAGTATTAGTCTTTCGTATTTGCGTTCCAAATAGGTATGGAGACTTGAATGCTTCAATTATAGCCAACACATAGAACCTATTATGTTTTCATGTGTACATTATACATGCATAAGGAAAGTATCCTATATCCTTGTGCACATATAGTATATTAGGAGGCTCTTCTAATCTTTTGGGAGGAAATTTACACCTGGCCTTGAACTTTCTTCGTAATATCACTATGGATTATGCTTGGTTCTTGGGTGTCTAGGCTGTAGAGTCATATAGTGGCTTGTGACATGCTCGTGTTTGATGTGCACTGTCACCTAAACAAATATGAATAGTCAATTATGATTCTTGAAGAGTAGCAGGAAGACATACTGAAGCTTTTTGGAGGGATACTTCTAGTGATTAACAATTCTGAAGAGTCTGAGCAGCATAAGTTGTGAAAACAGAGAAGTTGTAAACTTTTTTCTGTTGGAAATATAAAATAGTTATCTACCATTGGTATTAAGAGGGTTTTCTTTTTGTTCTTGTGATGGTTGAATCTGAGATTATTTGCAATGATAAAAGTTTAATGGCTAACCACCTTCCCCATCAACTAATACTGGTCTAAATTTCTTTTATACTCGTCATCCTTGTGTGTACTTCATATCTAATCACTATGATTACCAAAAAAATATTTGTTACTTTATTAGCAGATGAAGTGGAAAAATTAAGAGTTTCAGGTGTGAATTTCTGCTCCTTTCTAGGTTGGGATGATATATGATGCCTTAGTATTGAAATTGCATGACATTAAAATGTTCAGTCGTTGAATTACTTGAATTCGTTTCCTTCATAAATATTACCTCCTCAATTGTTTTGATGATGGCAACATTGGGAGATAAAGTAAAACCAATGTGATGAAGAGAGATGAGGTAAAGAGAACAATTAGCCCAAAAAGGTGATGTTGTATTTAATCTGCATCTTCCCAGAAAGGAACACCTTGTGATTATAGAATGGAGAAAGTACATGTTACATAGTAAAATTTAAAAATTCTAGATAATCAATTGTGCATTGGTATTTTAAGCTATAATATGCTTATCCTTTTATCTACATGTTTGCATCTCTTTTGAGGGACAAATGGATCCAAATAGGTTCTGTTTTAAATTCTATGAAGTGATTAAACCATAAAAGTATGATAATCTGCCATTGAATTTACCAAAAAATCATATGCTTGCTAGCAGCGACATATGTGTCTGCAGCAGCAAGCAACAAGTTTACCACCTTTTTTGAAACTATCACCTATCTTTTATCTTTCCTTTTTCCCCCATCTGTATTGCAAACAGCCTTTCTTCCATTATTGCGGTTTTATCTTTGTAATTGTTCTTCCACTTACCAAGCTTAAGGAGAGCACCTTCCTACCATGAGATTGGAGGTTCAATCCCCACTAATGACAATTTGGGGGATGTGACTTCCTTACCTCCCCTCACTCTCCCAAATTGTCTAGCCGCAAAACCGGGATGGGTTGACCCATGAGTGGTTCCGGCCCGCTAGTGCCTTTCATCTTACCTGCAAAAAAATAAAAATAAACATAAAACTTGTTCTTCCACTTGGACATTATCAATTATTTCAGGTGCTGTGAGCATTTCCTTCACTCTCACCACGGGGAGGACTACGTAGCACCATATCTTTCTTTTCCACCTATTATTACCTGTCTTTCATCCCTGGGCCTTGTCCTTGCAGCATTTGAATTAACTTATTTGCATATTAGTGATATACAGGTCTATAATGGTCTCTTTGCATCATTTAATTACCTTGTGAGGCTTTGGGCTTTTTTTTTTTCAAATTTTGCATATCTATTCCCAGCCGCTTAGATGCTTGAAATGATGACTTGCTTTATGGACTGTCCACCAAATGAGCTTATTTTGGCAAGATTTCCTTTTGGGTAAAACATGTGAACCATTTGAAGACATTTTTTAATCTGTAAACCTTTTCTTTACAATTTGTTCAAATATTTCACCTGGATTCTTGATGAGCCAAGTCTAGTAGGTGCAGATCTTGAGCTGAAGCTGTAGTATTTGAATTAAGCTGAATGTTTTCCGAGTGGTGCATGTGCAATTGGTATGATTGCCACTCAAGGTTTTCAAAATCATCACTTCTGTAGTTGAAAGCACTTTTGCCATTGCCTCTAGGTAATAATTGGCTCTGATAAAAATTTGGAGGTAAAATCTGGAAGTTAGTTAAGAAAGTTTCCAATATATATTGAGAAATCTGGCTATAACCTATAGGAGTTAAAACTGGTCTTGGAGGGTATTTTCTGAAGTTAATGTATTTGTGTGAAAAGCTTAAAGCACAATTGCCACTCTAGTCAGTTTTTAGGCCAAATAAATATTTGTCACGTTGTCTCTTCCTTTTCTTTTCTCCTACAGCCCAACTTTTTTTTACCTTCCAAGCTGTTGCTGCTCCTCCACCCAACTTTTCCTTAGTTCTTTCCTCCCTCTTTACTAATCTCATTGACTGGTGTTTTAACTGCAATTCCTAGGCTTCAGATTTTTATTAACCTGAAATTCCAGGTTATCGGTTCTCATTAACCTAGATTCCTCGGTAAAAGGGTTAACTTGTATAAATTCAGGATAGACATGTTCCTATACTTTGTGACAATGGCCTATTGGAAAGGGGTTGCTTCAGAAAACAGATAAAGGGAGTATTGCTATTGTCTGGCCAATGTTATCATCTTAGTCCATTTTAACAAAGTTGAAAGAGTATTTAGTACAAGTTTTTAAACTTTGAGTTACAGTAGAGTACCAGTTATCTCATTGACTGGTTTAGAATAAATGGAATCTTTTGCAATGTATGAGAAAGATCTCATACATCTAATCCCTCCACCCCACCCTAGGTTAGATTCTGATTAGATGATGACTCTGTCATCAACTACATGTCTGAACAAACTGGTAAAATTCCATTGTCTTACTTCTTTCTGTGCTACTTATCAGTGTTGATTTGGGAATTATAGAAATGGAAAGTTTACTGATTAAAAAACTCACCTTCCTTTGGAATGGTTAGCATTCACAATTCCATAGGAAGGTGAGTTTTCAATCAATAACCTTAATCAAATCTATATTGACCAATCCCAAAACCATATTTGAATCTTTGGGCTGTGTACATATGTTTTCAATCCACAATCTGTATTGACCCTTTACCATTGGACCACAAAATTCAAAATCACCACCGCCTCTCGTAGCTCAAAATTTCTTTGACTTCAATCTAATGCTCTTTATTCATTGAAGATGATTGGGGCATTGACAATTGGCGAACTAGTGGCTTGTGCTAATGATGGCTCATTATCATTTGCAACCACTATAGTAAATCACGTTGTAGAATAATAGACAAGAATGCAATAGAGATGATAATAATGCACGTTAGATGCTAGATCAAATGAATGCCTCAAATAACAGTGACATTAGGTTGCTTTTATCGGACTGGATTGTTTTGGCTTACACTTGACATGATCACGTCAGCCAAATGTCTAAATTAGATTCCCTACAATGCACTATGGTGTTTTAGAATCCTTCATTAGAAAGTATCCTTTAATCTCAAGCCTAATCCTGAGAAAACTTAAACAAGCAGTGGTGTTGCAATAGTTGTGAAATGCCACTTGTTTCGGCCACTGTAGTTTAAGAAACATTAATTCCAGGCCTTTTGTATATTGAAGCTCAAACCACTTAATGATTGCTTCGGCTATTGTGTATTTTGATCTTGTTATGAAGGCTTTGGTGGCTTACGATAGTGTATATGGTCATTACTTCTCTAGTTTCTGTTGATCAGTGTCTTATTTGTTGTACTTAGGAATACATGTGTTTCCACCATTCTTTCCAGTACATTTTCTGGATGATTGGTTTTATTGTCCATTTACATGTTCACTTGCGTAAAGTCTGTATATAAAATAATGCCTAAATTCTTATTGTTTTTTATAGGAGCTTTATAACGATCAATTATTGTATCTTACATGTTAAAAGATCTATAAATGCATTATATTTGTTAATTTCAAGACTCATAAGTTTACTATTAACATTGGTTATTCATGTCACTAAGAGCGTTAATTATGGAAAAAGTTAAAAATCCAAAACCAAAATATTTTAACTGTTCACCATCGTACTATTAAGTATATTATGCTGTGTGGTCTAATAGAGGGTTTTGGGATACTATCTAGGTCTACGAGGGGTTTTTTTCTTTTTGGGCTGTTTTAAGGATGGTTGTACTACATAAGCAGACATCTAAGAACACAGGGAGTGATCCATATGCATGTTTAGAATTGCTTGTTTTACTTTATTCTTCTCGTGCTCCAATTGGTTAATATACACAGTTAGCTTGGTGTAAGCTTAAAGCAACATAAAAAGACTTGCTGTATTGTCAAAGTATGCAATCTGAGGCATTAGTAGGCAGCGCTCTTGGCTTTCATTCATGTTGATAGACATTATCTGCTGTGGGCTTTTCCATTGTGCTCTCGGAGTTCGTGTAAGCTGAAGATGCCATTTACACTGTCGGTGTTAATTTATGAAGTCCGGACTATTTCTTTTAACCAGGAAAATATAGTATCAGTTTTGTCGTAAAATACTTTTTTTAAGGTTTAATAATACCCTTCGCTACATAAAATAACCTGATGTATAGTAAGTTAGTAACTACCTGATGTATAGTAAGCTAGTAACTACAGTCCAATTTCCAACCTTATACATTGAGAATCTGGCAGTGCTCTTGGTTTCATCTATGCTGACAGACATGAATGCTGTGGGATTTCCACTGTATTCTCTTAAAATTAGTGTAGCGAAGGATTTCCATTTACTCAGTAGGTCTTAAATTATGAAATTAAGAGCTTTCTTCTCCCAGGAGAGTATGAAGTATCTCTTTTGTTGTAAAGTTTATTAAGAATTTAAGGGCTAATTATGCTCGTAGGAGTCGTAGCAACCAAATGAATGTGAATGAGGTTTTGGGTTGTCTGGAATATTGACCTATGTTCATATTTTTGTAAAGCCCTTACAATTTCCAATGACCAATTATCTGTCCACCTTATCAATTGCACTACTGCAGTAGGTAAGGTATGTTTTATACTTGATTATATTTTGACATTGTTGCCAGTAAATTGAGGACTGCTGCTATTTATAAGACCATCTTAGTAACTTTACTAAGAGCATTGTGATTTATGAGCATGCTGCTGAGTGGCATTTCCAAAACATGGTTATGCTATAGTCTAATATGTTTGCATTGTTCAGGTCTACCGGCTGAGACATCTATCGAAAGGTTTGTTACTGTTGGTGCATACTGTCTCTTGAGATCTTGCACAATTGAGCCAGAATGCATCATAGGACAGCACTCGATTCTAATGGAAGGTTCTTTGGTGGAGACTCATTCTATCCTTGAAGCCGGTTCTGTTGTTCCTCCAGGAAGAAGGATTCCTACTGGTGAGCTCTGGGCAGGTAATCCTGCCAGATTTGTGAGAACCTTGACTCATGAAGAGACACTTGAGATCCCTAAGCTCGCTGTTGCAATTAATGACCTGAGCAAAAACTACTTCCATGAGTTTCTCCCATACTCCACCGTATATTTGGAGGTTGAGAAGCTAAAGAAGAAGTTGGGGATTAATATCTGAAATATTTTTGCTTAGGAGATTTTCATGTTTAATTGTATCAAATCAACTCAACATCCTCTCTGAAATAAGCAGCGTCATGACTCGGGTTACATGATTTTGGAGTTCTGTATTTTCTGTTGACCTCTGTACGAAGTGTGGAAGTTCAAAAAGTCCCAAAATGGATAATACAGATGAAACATGGATCTCGCCATGTAGTAATTTGTAGTGTTTTTGGATTGATGTTTTTGGGCGATAATTTTAAATAGAGATGCATTTGTTTAGCATTACATTGATGGAAGATCAATTTTAATGTCTAAATCTGATACTATAGTTGTTTATTAAGCTAAAGGACATTACAGATTTTGTTGAATTTTCTTTACTTTGTGACATATGCATGAATTAAGCATGATAGCTAAAGTGACAATAAACTGACAAGCTGGAAATATTCTAGTAGGATAAAAACAATGAATAGCACAATATTATAGAAATAACAATGGACAAATTAATTATTATTATTTTTTGGGTGAGTGGGTTGAGCCATTGAGAGAGGAGTGGGGGGTCATTTTTTTTTTAAAAAAAAGTAAGATACAATGGGGAGTTTAGGTATGTCTTCTCGTAAGACCGTGACCTAAATTATCAAAGCGCAACAAATAAGAAAATTTACTATTTGTCTTGATGAGTCGGAGTCGAGTAGTGGAGAGAGGGGGTCATGGTGTTGCAAACTTCCACTAAAATAACAAAAGGAATGTTGAAAATTCAGTTTTAGAACTAGGGTTCTAGGAATACTATAATTACTAATCTAAGGTTGTTTTGAAGAATTATACCAAGTGCCTTATACAAGTACAAAATATGTATTTTTTGACGAAACTTATACAATGTTACCTACTTGAATTAACAAATAACTAAAAACAATAGATAAATAAATAAATAAACTAAAGTTATTTTAATAGTTACTCGATCTAACTTAGAGTTTATTCAAGTATAGGAGGAGATCTCAAAACATTTATGGAGTTACTAATTCTCTGTATTTTAAATTTGTTTTTGCCGAATCTCTAGTATATTTCTTCTTTAAAATTACTGATTTTTATCAAATTGAAATTATTTATTTGAGTATTATTTTTGTAAAAAAAGTGAAGAGGATCTTATTGTTAAATTTTAAGATAATACAAAATAGACAATCCAAACAAGGAGGAGAGTTCAGTCCACAAGCAAGGCCCGAGAAAGTTTCATACTAAAACCAAGCAAGGATCTTTATTTAATTTTTTTTAATCTTGTATTTCCTCTATTTCTTTTTAGTTGACAGGTTTTGATATTGTTCACTATTCTTATGAACTATTTTTGAATTCATTTAATTAGTTTTAAGAAAAAGCACGGTAATGTGAGTTTTGTTTTGTTTTGTTTTTTTTTTTTTTTTTTTTTTTTTTTTTTTTTTTTTTTTTTTTTATTCGTCTCAACGTCTATTTTTCAAATATCAAATTTTTATAATTTTTTTCTAATATGTTTTAAAAATATTTACATTTAAAATTAGGCATTGACAAACTAAATAAAATGTGTCTTGAAGTATACACGTAGTAAATTTTTCACACAATCGATGAATCCGCACGTGTGGTACCCTTGGTTGTCTAATTATCTATATATCCCTCCATTAGCTTAGCTCCTTAATAGGGCCAATTATAATATTATGGACCAATCACTTGACCTAACTGATAAGAATCCTATATAGTTTAATGCATGAGCTTCATTAGTTAATTGTGTATGTTGATTAATGATGAAGTACCTAATTAGTAGTTAAATGGTGCTTTTAATTAGGGTACTACTAGCTAGTACAGGATAATTAGATAGTTGGTGTACAATCTTATTGCCTGCAAATTAGTTGGCATAGAATATATCCACCTTATTAACAGTTGTATATGTATGGACCTTAATTATTGGCTTCTTTTTAAGCAATTATTAGATTATTAGTTTGGACGTGGGAACTGCAACCTTGGATGCGTACACCAAATTTATGTCTTGATTGAGTTATTTTAAATTTAGCTAACTCTTAATCACAGCAGGTGTATTGTATGCAGTTTTTCGGGACAATGATATAGGTATTTAAAATTATTCAAAGATAGCATGAGCATCCTTTTTTACCGTAGTTGTTTGAAAAATGACTACCATATTATTTTAATGATATACAATATAATTGGCTACAAACTACTCATTGAAAAACCAAACTTTTAATGTAATATGCTAATTGTACTGTAAATAAAAAATCCCAACTTGGCAAGCGTAATTTAATATAAACACACAAATTTCAACAAAAGGGTGGACGATATCTCCAAACACATTAGTAGAAGGGTAGCTAAGAGCTTATTGGATAATTACGCATTTTTTCATTGCCTATATAAACCCTAGCAGACAATAGATTGGCTAGAATTATTTACATAGATGGTTAGCAATTATTGGTAATAGTGTAAATAATTTGAAATATCATTATTTTATTACTTTTTAGCTAAATAAAACAAATAAATAAAAATTACTAACATACATAAACAAAAATTATACTTTGCCGTAATAATGTTTGGTTTTGTAAAGAATTTAAAGTGAACATAAATCAAACATTTATTACACCAATTAATATGTAATTTTATCATACATTCTTAAATTGATCCTTACAATAATTTCAATAATAGATTATTGCTTTTATGTGCTACATGTATCATTGTTAAAAACAACAGCCTTGAAACCAAGTTATAAATTATTAGCTCTTCCAAAATGAAATTAAGTATTAGCTGTGAGACAAGTACAGTGATTATTTGTAGGAATGTATTAATATAAGAGTTAAGTACTCCAAAAAGAGAGAAGATAAGATGAATTAGACAATTAATTAGAACAAACATTATAAGAGTGAGAAGGAACAACCTTCAAAATTATGCAATCTCTGATGATATTGCATCATCCAATACGTAGGTATTTTTAGGTCATGAAAATTAGGAGTGGAAGACCAAACAATAATTAACTAGATTTTTCCATTTTTTAAGTGAAAAAGTTTATTTAAGATCTAGACATCTCAACCACTCTTATCTCCCACTACTAACCCTCAAATTTGTTCATTATATCTCTTAAATATGTTTACTAAACATAATTAACAACTCATCTCAAAATTTTGCACAAGAATTGTTATTTTCTCTTCTCCCTTCAAAGTTTGATATGGTTTTGCATGGTTGTGTCTTGTGTGGTTAAGGATTATCATTTCAATTGTATGGTAAGTCGAGATTAGTTAGGGTGAAGATGTTGGAATGGCTCAATCAAGTTAAAGCATCCAAGTGTTTTGGCTTAGTTGGGTCCTTCTAATTTGATTGAGCCGTGCCAATATCAGGTTTTCATCTTATTACATATCTCTCTCTTTTTCTCTTTCTTTTATTTATCTATATACTTGTATATCCAACTTGCTTCCCCTTTCCTCTTATTTGAGTTACATGTTTTATTTGTGTAAGACATCCTAGTTCGACAATCGAATTAGGTCAGGTTTGAGTTCAGGTCAAGTACTACATATCATGTTAATGTTGAGATGATAGAAATAGGTTGATGAGAATCTCTCCTTTTGCACTCAACTTAATTACATAAATGAGTTTATTTTATTTTATTTTATTTTATTTTTTATTTCTTCAGATCAGTAAAATAATTAAAATATACAAATTTTTGTATGCGGCTGGCCACATGGTGCGGCAGGGGTTACTTGTAGGGTGTTACTGGTTTTGTCAGGGGTTACTTGTAGTTGTTACTTGTATTCTGGGGTTACTTGTATGGGTGTTAATTACTGGTTTTGGTCAAGGGTTACTTGTAAGGTGTTACTGGTTTTGTCAGGGGTGACTTGTAGGTATTACTTGTATCATGAGGTTACTTGTACGGGTGTTACTGGTTTTGGTAAGGGGTTACTTGTAGGATGTTACTGGTTTTGGTCAGGGGTTACTTGTAGGATGTTACTGGTTTTGTCAGGGGTTACTTGTATTCTGGGGTTACTTTAGCTTGTAGGGTGTTACTGGTTTGGTATGGGGTTTTAGTTTAGAGTTATTTGTCGTAGGAGTTACTCAGAATACAAGTAACACCTACAAGTAACTCATACAAGTAACCCTACGATACAAGTAACCCCACGATACAAGTAACCTCATAATACAAGTAACACCCTATAAGTATATACAAGTAACCTCATAATACAAGTAACCCTATAATACAAGTAACCCCTGCCGTACCATGTGACTTGCCGCACTGAAAAACCTCTGATTAAAATATCGCTATGTTAATCAAATCTTAAACCTTACATATTTGACCCATATGTTTAGGTAATTTGCAAGAAAATATGATGGATGATTTTTATCATAACAAATCTGTCATGCACTTTTAGTTCAATTTTTAAATAGTTGAATAATTGAGGTTAACATCCCAGAAATATCCTCCATTAAGTAAAATGATTGAAGACGTATTAAATCTAGCTAATTAGAAAATTTATGGTTAAGAGGAATAATAAGACCTCCAATTTTATTTGAATTTGAATTATGAACTATTCTTAAGTTGAGCTTTCATTCTTAGTTTTAAAAGACTCGTGCTATATTCTTTGGTTTTGATGATAAGTATTAAGTTTCCATGCAAACAGATTACTACACGTTGATAGAATTTCTTGCTTTTCTTTTTCATGATAAATTAGTTTAAATTTTATTGGATCGATTTAATGAATTTTTTTTTTCTTATATATATATATATATATATATATATATATATATATATTTTTGTTTTTTTTTTTTTTTGAAAGTATAAACCATAATACTAAGAAGTCATAAAACATGAATGTAACAAATAGGTAGAATATAACAAATTGAATCAGATTTTTTTTGTAAGAGACAATGTAGCAACTTGTTATTGTCCTTGGGATATTTTCCACTTGATTCATCTTATTACATGCCTGCTCTCGGCCACGTAGACACCCACCACCCCCTTGACAAGAAAATTACATGGATCGATATGTGGCACCAACTTGGGGATTTCTATAAATACTCAAGCATATTTCACTTCTAAGGTACAACATTCTCAATCAAAAACTCTCAAATCACTTTTCATATGCTTATCATCCAATTTACTAACTTTAGCATTGTGGCAATTATCTTAGGACAAATCAAGAGGGCAGCTAATCTGAACTATGTTGACTGTGTAGGCATCCATTAGACAATAAGCCATTACCGACTCAGATATTATCATAGCTCTCCTGGAAAAGTACCTTGCTATTTTAGGATTGGAACTAAATTTGTGTGTATACACAAAATAAATTGCTCATGTAGTAATGTTGACTAGATAATTATCTATGAGAAAATAAAGGTTTATATCCTTGATAAA